ATGACATTTTGATTTATTGGAAGACCGTAGAGAAACACGTTTTGCATTTGAGAAAGGTGTTAGATGTGCTTAGGCAAGAACGGCTGTTTGGAAATTTCAAGAAATGCTCTTTTTGTATGGATAACATTGTCTTTTTAGGCTTTGTTGTGAGCTCTCAGGGCATTCAGGTCGATGAAGAAAAGATCAAAGTCATTCGGGATTGGCCAAGTCCAAAGACGGTTGGAGAAGTCAAGAGCTTTCACACACTGGTTGGGTTCTATCGGCGTTTTGTCTGAGATTTCAGTACCATAGCCGCACCATTGACCGAGGTCATCAAAAGGGACGTGGTCTTCAAGTGGGAACAGGATCAGGAGGACGCCTTCCAGCTTCTAAAACACAAGCTTACTCATGCACCCTTACTTGTCTTACCAGATTTTCTTAAAACTTTTGAAATTGAGTGTGATGCATCTGGTGTACGTATCGGGGCTGTGCTGATGGAGGAAAAGAAGTCGGTCGCAATCCTTAGTGAGAAGCTGGGTGGAGCCACTCTTAACTACCCAACCTATGACAAGGAGCTTTACGCCTTGGTCCGTGCACTCCAGATGTGGCAACATTACCTCTGGCCGAAGGAGTTTGTGATTCACACGGATCACCAGTCACTCAAGCATCTTAAGGGCCAGCAGAAGCTAAACAAGAGGCATGCCCGTTGGGTGGAGTTCATAGAGACGTTTCCGTATGTGATCCAATACAAACAAGGCAAGGAAAACGTTGTGGCCGATGCTTTGTCCCGGAGATACACGCTGATCTCTACCCTGGATGCCAGGGTCCTTGGTTTCGAACTGATTAAGGAAGCTTATGCTTCTGACCTGTTCTATAGGGAAGTTGTACGTTTGCATGGGATGCCTAGGACCATAATCTCGGATAGAGATACAAAGTTCCTTAGCTATTTCTGGAAGACCTTTTGGTCTAAATTAGGAACCAAGCTTTGCTTCTCTACGACTTGTCACCCATAGTCCAACGGTCAAACCGAGGTGGTCAATAAGACCTTGTCTAGTCTTTTGAGGTCTGTGATTAAGAAGAACATTAGGACTTGGGAAGATTGTTTACCCCATGTCGAGTTTGCTTACAATCATGTCGTGCATTCTAATACTTTGTATTCACCATTTCAGCTTGTTGGTGGTTTTAATCCGCTTACTCCTTTGGATCTAACTCCTTTACCTTTGAGTGAACGTGTAAGCATGGATGGCAAAAAGAGAGATGAGTTGGTTAAGCAGATGCATGAAAAAGCCAAGAAAAACATCGAGCATAAGACAGAGCTGTACCGAAAGTATGCCAACAAAAGTCAGACCGAGAAAATTTTCGAACCAGGCGACTTGGTGTGGATTTACTTGAGGAAGTAACGATTTCCGAAAGAGAGGAAGTCCAAGTTGCTGCCAAAAGTGGACGGTCCCTTCACCATTTTGGAGAAGATCAATGACAACGCTTACAAAATTGATCTCCAAGGTAAGTATGCTGTTAGTTCCAATTTAAATATTGCTGACCTTATCGCTTTCGTGCCAGATGGAGTCGACTTGAGGACAAGTCCTTTTCAAGAGGGGGGGGGGGGATGATGCGATCATAGAACCAGAGGCTGAACCACGGGTCGAAGATCAGGTCGTGGGGCAGGAACCGGACACGGTCTTATTCACTCCGGACGAGCCAATGACGAGATCACGTACAAGGAGGTTGGCAGGAGCCGTTCAGAAGATATTTACCGAGCTCAGGAACCAGAACATGGAACTAGCAACAACCGGAGCCATGACCCTTCTCACGTACCAGGGTACTTACTGGCTTCGGCCTGGTATATTTTTTGGTACTCTTTTTCTTTACATCCGGGTTTGTCCCAATGGGTTTACCGAATGGAGTTTTAAGGAGGTCAAAGGCTATACCACCATACGGCCGCAGTTCAGTACGTGCTTGGTTCACGGGTCAGGAGTTTAAGAGTCATTTTAGTTGGAGCAGCTCAAGGGTCAGTCAAAGCTAGGCAAAGATTCAGTCTATGTTTTTAGTCAAACTCATTTATTATTTTGTAATTTTCTATGCATGACTCTTGGTCTGATCCGCCCCTATATAAAGGGATGAACCCTTCTCATTTTCAATCATTCACTTTTCTTAACAAAATTTTGAGACTTTTCTCCTTTGTTCTTTAGAGAACTTTATTGATTCTCAGGTGGTTAACCTAGAATTATTTTCGGTTTATCAAGTTCAATCCACAGAGCTTGACGCAGCCTTCGTCTGCAAAGTTTAAAGTTTTCGTTTGTCGTAATCGGGGCTTAGAGATTTTCGAGAACCTAGTTCTCACGCCTTAACATCCTTTTACCGACGAGTTCTTTCTATCTTTGTTCCACCCCCTTGTTTCAAATTGTTCTTCGTGAGTGTGGGCCTAAGGATTTTCGGGAGTCTTTCTCTCACGCCTTAGCATCTGCTCCAAGAATTGTTCGGAGTCAAGGATCTATCAACCCGACCGGACCAAGTGTGTGACAATCCTTTGGGATATCGTATCAGTAACCGGCATCCTTCTCCTGCTCGGTCAGATTGGAGGCGTTCTTTGTAAAGGCTCATCCAATCGCTATGCAGAACACCGTGATATGCGCCTTCAGGTCGGTCGTGCCTTCGTAAAATGGGATTATAACTTTCCCTGGTTTGGGAATTCTAGCCTCCGTGATTCTTGTCGTGAACAGGGTTTTTTTAGTTTCCTCGAGCATTCGATCAATCTCCAGCGTGGCACTTATCGCGTTATGGACTTGAGACTTCATGACGCGTATCTCTGCCATTGTCCAAGCCATTGAGGCTCGCAACTCTTTGATCTACTGGGTCTGCGCACGGGTCAGTCTCCTAAGTAGGCGAGATCGCTCCTGTTCTTCTCTCCTTAACTTGTCTCCGTACTCCACCTGCTCGACCCATTGGAGATTCTCCTCTTCCTCAGTTGGATTGTTGTCGCCAATTGGGTCGGTGACTATGTCTGTTTAGATGCCATTAAGTGCTAAGGCGAGCTCTTCTTGACTTATCCGCTGAGCCGAGCCGTTTTGCTGCGATTTTCTGGTTCCGTCGCTCTACTGGACGTACACATCGATCACGTCGTTTTCCTCCTCATCACCTCGCCGGCTTGAATTCCGACGAAGCGGGGGCGGATCAGTCATATTAACTCGAGTTACTGCTGGAGTTTGTTCGCTGAGGGGACGAAAAATTGGTGGAGCCATGGGATTTCTTATGCTGCTACCGGATAAGCCTGCAGGTGTCGAGAAGTCGAAGCGTCTCCTGACTCCATCTGTCGGATCAGAGATCCTGGCTCTCCAAGTCGGATGTCGTCTTTCAATCGTTATTGCGTCGAGTCTCTCCGTGATCGCCCCGCTCGTCGATTTTCTTCATCAACGTGGTCATCATGTTCTGCATCTCCTCCTGAGCTTCAGTGGTTGTCGTTGTCGTTCTTGGTGGTGGAGCATCTTTCTCTGCGCCGTTGTTGTTGTTGTTCTCGTCGTCGGAAGCGTTGCTCGCCATGTCTTAAAGTCTTATCGATTTTAGAGTAAGAAATTTTGATGTCCCCACAGACAGCACCAAATTGTATGAGCCAAAACTCACACAACCAAAATTTGTTTAAGGAAATTTTAGGGATCAGAAATTTCTAGAGTTTTTCTCGACAGAACTCAAGATCGAAAAAGGTTTTTATTGCTGTGAAATTGCTTAGGTCTTATTGCTCTCGAGTTGTGAAAAGTTACATAATAAATCCAATACAATGACTATGTATACTAATTCTTTAAATCGCCTAGCCGAAAGTCTCGAGAAAATTTTTGGAATGTTTCCTTCTCGTCTCATGCGGCCGCCGTAACGCTTCTGCCTAAATTTTTTACGGGTTTTACATCTTCGCAGCTAGGCCCACTTGCTGTTTGAATTTGCTCACTGAAACGTCACGCCGCGGCCCAATTCGTTAAGATCCGGCTCAGCTCATTCGATTGTCCTTTGCTGTGGCTCGATTTTTCCAAACATTTAACCATTTTTGAGATGGTTAAAATGTTTCGGATGAAACCAACTCCAACATGTAGAACCAAAACTCCTAAAAAGATCCCGACACAAAAAGGAAAAATCCCAACCGAAAACTCAACTTTTTAAAACCCAAAAACTCTAAATAGAAAAGAGAATTCTAAACAAAAAGGAGAGTCAAAATTCTATTTTTTAGTGTTGAGTTTAATTATTTTTAAAAGGAAAATTAACAAAAAAAAAGGAAATATACGTCCTAAAAGAAAGAAAAAAATTGAAAATTTTGGAAGGAACAAAAAGTATATCGATGTATTGAATGAGTATATATTTACATGTCATTCTAATCAATCCCGTCAATGTAAATAGAAATTTTCCTCTAGTCATATTTCTAAAGGTCTTAGTGATATAATAAAGATGACATTAGATGTAGACGTCAAATATATTTAATAATTTAAGAAGCGGTTTGAAGAAAACACGGAGCATAGTTATTTAGGAGGACGAGACAAAGCTGAATTAAGTTGTAACTATTGTGCGTACTCTGTTTTTAAATATTTCTAATATAAAGTTGATCTCGTAACTACATATTATTCTCAAGATTCACATCTCAAGCTTAAAATAAAAATTTCGTACGTATTGTTTGATTAACTTTGATTTACTAGCACATTTTAAGGCTAGTAGATATGAATTGGAAAAGTTGTTATGTGAATTTAGAAAGATAAATCTTAAATACGATATTTAAATGAATCTAGCTAGTTAGGGAATAATAAAAGGTTAATTTTTGTTTTTTGAAATTTTAAAAGTAAAAGCATTGGTTTTTCTTTTCCTTTCCGAGGAGGAAAATAAAAAGAACAAATCTTTTGGACTTCCAACACTCAATCTTTCGCCTTCCTCTATACAATATTTTTTCATCTTCTTTCGTATCAAAATATCTTCTCTCTCTCAAACTATCAAAGAAATGTTTGCATACAATTGAGACGTCTTGAGATTGCAGTGAAAGAGTTTGAAAGATGCAGAAATTGTGGGAAGTAAAGGAAAACAAGAAGAAGGAGAGAATCGTCAAAGGAAAAGATCTAGTTGATGTTGTCTTCTCATGGTCTCTTCTTGATGTGCTAAACTCAAATCTCTACAAAGGAAAGGTTCTGTTTTCTTCTAAGTCTTTATATTTCCCTAGAAACCTAAGGACATATACTTACTTGCTTTGGTTGCTTTGTGGTGTTTTTGTTAATACTAGGTCGATAAGATCCCTAACACATTCCCATCAAGCACAGAGTATTTTAAGTCATTTGTTAATCCGCTTGTTGAAGAGACACATGCTGCTTTGCTGTCAAGTATGGAGACTCTGAGACGAGCTCCAGCTTTCAAATTTTGGGAAATCAAGCCAGCCAAAGATTTTAAGCCTCCTAAGAGTCTTTATTATGAGGTTACTTTGCAGACAATGTCTGATAATATAACCAATGGAGAACGAAAACTGTTAGAGTTTAATGATCTCATTGCAGTGACTGATAAGAAGCCTACTCGAATTGATGACTTGAGATGTTCCAGTGAGCCTTACTTGCTAGCTCTTGTTTGTGGAGTGAACGAGGATAATCCACATTTGATAACTATTTTGGCTTCAAAACCCATCGTTTTTGAGGACGATAACATGGAAACGACAAAGAAAGGAAAGGGTGTGAAGAAAAGCCTCACCCTCTTTGGTGTTTATTTGATCAACATGATGACCAATATTCGTATTTGGACTGCGTTGCATCCAGGTCCAGAAGGAGGAAACTTAAAGCTTATATCTAGAGTACTTCAAAGCAACAATGAGGTAGTGAAGATACATTCACCTGAGGAACTCTTGGAACATATTCAAAAATCATATCTTAAAACTCTGTTTCTTGTGTAGGTTGGTGGTGGAAGTTGTGTGCCCTGCCAAGAAAACGGTGAGAATGTAGTGCCACATCACTTAGAGAGAACGATACGGTCATTCAAACTGAATTCATCTCAGGAGGATGCCATTTTGCGTTGTCTAGAAGCTAAAGATTGCTACCATTGCAATACTATCAAACTCATATGGGGACCACCGGGAACGGGGAAGACGAAGACAACAAGTGTTCTGCTTTTGAACCTTTTGAAAATGAAATGTAGGACCTTGACTTGTGCTCCAACTAACATAGCGGTTTTGGAAGTTTGCTCCAGGCTTGTGAAATTGGTCTCTGAGTCATTAAGGTTTGGTGGGTATGGTCTTGGAGATATTGTGTTGTTTGGTAATAAAGAAAGGATGAAGATTGAAGAGCGGGAGGATCTTTTTGACGTTTTTCTTGATTACCGTGTTGAGGAGCTCTATACTTGCTTTCAGGCTGTGACCGGATGGAGAGCAAATGTAAACCATATGATCAGTTTGCTCAGTGATCCAAAAAAAGTTTATCACCAGTCCATCGAGAAGGAATATCACGGAAAGCGTTTCTCGTTTAGGCAATTTGTAGAGGAGAGGTTTAGAAAACTCAGGATTGACCTGCATTTTCAGTTCTCAACATTGTTCCTGCATTTGCCAACTGCTTTGCTTTCCTTTCAAGTGGCGGAAAAGATGAACCGGACTAATGATCTCCTTAGAGTTATGACAATTTCAGATGTGGTGGCAAATCGTCGGTCTTGTCATGGAAGATTGAAACATGTCGTTAAAGATTTTAGGAAAGATGGCAGATTGGAGAATGATTCAAGAAAGCAAGATTGTCTAGAGATGTTAGTATCGATCTGCAATAGTATCAAACTTCCGGATTTTATAGGAATGTTTGATCTTAAAAAACTCTGCTTAGCAAACGCATATCTGTTGTTCTGCACAGCATCAAGCTCTGCCAAGCTACACATGAGTAGTCCAATACAGCTCCTTGTGATCGATGAAGCTGCTCAGTTAAAGGAATGTGAATCAGCGATTCCTTTGCAGCTTCCAGGAATTCAACATGCTGTTTTGATCGGTGATGAGAAGCAATTGCCTGCAATGATCCAAAGCAAGATTGCTTTAGAGGCTGATCTTGGAAGGAGTTTGTTTGAAAGATTGGTGCTCTTGGGCCATAAGGAGCAGTTGTTGAACATGCAATACCGGATGCATCCTTCGATTAGTATTTTCCCAAACAGAGAGTTTTACGGTATGAAGATTTTGGATGCTCATTCTGTAAGAGTGAGAAGTTATGAGAGAAAATTTCTTCCTGAGAAAATGTATGGACCTTACTCTTTCATTAACATACCCTATGGAAGAGAACAGTTTGGACAAGGATACAGTTTGAAAAACGTTGTGGAGGTCTCTGTCGTGGCTGAGATAGTCTCGAAGCTTTACTCAGGTAAACAAAACTTAAATCAGATCAGTCTTCGAAATTAGAGTTTGTTGTTGATTCTTGGTTTGTAATGTAATATGCAGTATCAAGAAAGGCACGGAAACCAATCAGCGTCGGTGTGATTTCTCCTTACAAGGCTCAAGTGTTTGCAATACAAGAAAAGATTGGCGAAAAGTATAATACAAGTGAGCAATTCACCGTGAGTGTTAGGTCTGTAGATGGGTTTCAAGGCGGTGAAGAAGATATTATAATAATCTCAACTGTTAGGTCTAATGGTAAAGGAGCAATTGGTTTTCTATCTAACCAGCAAAGAACCAATGTAGCACTCACACGTGCGAGGTATTGATCTAACACTTTTGTCACTTTCCTTAATTTAGCTACTATTGTGAATCTGTTAGTTTTGTTCTTAGTTTTTCTACTATTGTGAACCAATGTAGATATTGCTTATGGATTCTTGGGAACGAAGCGACTTTAACGAACAATAAATCAGTGTGGAGGCAGTTAGTAGATGATGCGAAAGCACGAGACTGTTTCCATGATGTAGACGATGATGAATCATTAGCTCAGTGTATTGAAAGATCAACAACAGCACTTGATGATCTTAGTAAGCTTGAGAACAAAAAGCTTATCTCCTTTGAAAATTCGATATGGAAGGTATTATACTCCATTCGTTCCCTTTTGTAATATATTTTAGAGGTATTTTGTTTCATCTCATGTTTTTCAAAATTGATGCAATTTTTTTATTATTTATTTACTCTCTTGCGACCATTTGCTTGTGTATTCCGCTATGTCTTATAATATTGTTTAAACTGTTTCTAGTGAAGTTATGGTGTTCTTTACGTAGAAATAGAACGTAGTATAATTTTTAATCTTTTAATCTTCGTGATTTAGCCAAAACATCTTTTTTTTCTAACGATCATTAGTCTGCTTCTCTGATCTTTTTCTCCCACAGGTTTGGCTTAGCAATGAGTTCTTGAAATCTCTGGAGACGATCGTAGACTCTGAAATCAACAAAAGAGTTATGAGCTATTTGGAGAAGTTATCAAATGGGGAGCTTAACCAAGAGTCGGAGACTGAGAATTTGTTTAGACAACACGAGATCGATGATGGTCTAAGTCTCATTTGGGCAATAGACATTATCAAGAGAGAGAATCACTATGTCCAAGTTTTGAAGATCTGGCACGTTTTGCCATCTTCTGATGTTTCTCGTGCCGAGAAATGTCTAGAGCAACATTTTAAAAGATATACGAAAGTCAAGATTGAACGGTGCAGATACATTTGCTCTCAAGGGTAAGTATAGTTGAATTTTGTGGCTATGATTAGGCAGAACTATGAGTAATATATATGTTTTTGTTGTTTTTGTATTGTTGCAGAAATTTAGCTGTACCGATGAGATGGCCGGTTAAGTCTTGCTCGCAGAATGATGTTATAAGCGACATTTCAAGGTCGTTTGCGTGTTTGAGTGTTTTGGAGGAAACTGAGACTCCCAAACCAATCAAGTAAAGTTTCTTTGTTGAATCTTTGAAATTTAAGAGTTTTATAGAAAAGCACTTACAATCATATTCTATGTTTATTTATCTCTATTTTGTTCGCAGGAAACAATCGACGGTGAAGAAGGTGTGGAAGATTAGAAGAAAGGTTCAAGTCCAAAGATCTTGACTGTTTCTTTCGTAAAAGTATTGACTGAGTTTCAAGCACACTCTTTGTTTCCTCTCTTACTTTTTAAACAACGTTAGTCTGCTTCTTTTGGGACTTGTTGATTTAAGAAAATTTAGACTTTTTGTCCTATTATCTTTACCAATTGTATAGAGAAAAAATGGGTCATATAGACTAATGGTATTTCGTCGTCCTAGTCAGATAACGTGAAGTTAAGTATCGTACATGGTTCGTCTTAGCTAAATAATCCAAAGAAATGAAAGAACGCATTTCAAGTGACACAAATGGGATTCTTAAAGTCTCTCAAAATATGTAACAGATTCTAGGCCTCGTTCTTCTACTCTCTTTAGAATCAATAGGGTTTGTAAAGACTTGAAAAACCTAAATAATGAGACCACACTAGTCACACCCAACCTGAAGGTCCATATCAGATTACCTATTTATAAGAGTGATACTATTTAACTATATTATTTCTATCCTAAGAGCGGGATGTTACACAGTCCTCTCAAAGAAAATGTTGTATAATTATGGGAGGCGGATGCGATTGGGCGAAATATGTTTGGATGATAGATGTTTTGCATAGGGATGAAAATGTAAATAGGAACTTCTTTAATATGAAAGGAAATCTATGAAATAAAAGACATTTAATGGATTTGGGACGAGAATTTCTGAATGGTGAAAGATATTGGAATTTTCTCTAAATCCTTCATTGTCTATTCGTCTCAATAAAGATCTTGGAAGATATTTTATACAGAATACATGAGTTGGATTTGGGGACCAAGTTTTTCTATTAGTTGAATCGTGTGTGTTCGTGGTATAGTTATAGGCAATTAGTTGCCATGCGTTGTGGATATGACATGCACATGAGGTAGATAACCCTGGCGTGATTATACACCTCTCATGAGGTGTGTCACATATGTTGAGGAGGCATTCTTAGAAGACTGAAACTACGCATCTCTCTCTGTACGAGTATCTTTACTGTTTGGTCGGCTTCATGTTGTGGATTAAAAGATCTGTAAGCTAAGACTCCCAAGATTCATACAGCTTGACGAAATGTGTTCATGAATGTTTCCTAGGGAGGAAAGCTGGTATTGCAACCTATGGGATCACTTGTTGCATGTTAAGTCGTCCTGGCCAATCATGTTCCAAGGTCCAAAATTGAGCTTGGACCGTTTATCATTCTACCTGTGTATGATTTTGCTTGGGGAAGATGGCGGCATGTCATGTATTTTGGAAAGCACGTAACTCCCAATATTTGTTTTACACTCCACATCTCTGCTAGAAGAGGCAGGGTGAAACAGTATCCCAACGTTTCTAAGGCTTTAGTTGTAACATTTTTGGCCAGGCAACATCCTGGCCGAGCCTTTCTTCTTTTAACCATTTTCAATTCAACTAGATTTTTGACCCATGAAATGTATAATTAGATATATTCATTTCTCATAGGTAATATGTAAGTTTGTAATCTCATAAATAAATTGTTTATTTCTCACCATCTTTACTTGTTTTCATTTCCTTAAGTGTAATTTCAAAATTTTTATTTTGATTTAACTATGCAATTTTATAATATTTTATTTTTATTTTAAATTCTTTAAAGTTCTATCAATGAAGTTTAACACTTTCAAAATCCATAAAATTTCTCTGAAAATTCACAAATTCTAGCTTTTTTCCTGCAATAATTTATTTTTAAAATCAACAAAATCAAATCTTACATTTTTTTAGTTGCTATCTATTATTTTAAAATCAAATTATCTCCAATATTGTTTGAAGTATGTTAACAAAATTGTACTTTTATTAAAATTTAAATAGATATAGAGTATGTTTGAAAGATTATTGACTGATTATGACTACTTTTTTGCTATCTTTATTGTTGTTCCGTGTGAGACTTTGTAGTTGTTATTTATTTTAAAAATTTTCAAGTTCTAATTTTTTCAATCAAGATTTAACATTTAAAAAACCCCTAAAATTATATTAAAGTTCCAAAAACTTTAATTTACTTAGTGTTTTGGTTCCTACTATGAGTTATTTTTAAAAAGTTAATAAAATAAAACTTTAATATTGTCTTTTAAATTGCTATTGATCCATTATTTTAAAGGAAATGTCCACAATATTTTATTGAAGTACATTAATCTAAAGCTAAAGTCTCTAACAATCACTTCTCTCTATAAGATCGAAGAACTTCCAGGTGAGAATAATTATGGGAATACCATATCAACAAAATTTTATAAATCAAGCTCAAACTAATCTGATAAATTTTTATCTAATATTGTTATTTAGAACCATTCAAAATCTCAACTCAACTATCGTCATCTGTCTCCTTCTTATATTCGGGTAAAAACTTAATCTTTACGGTTTTTCATTTGTAATCTCATATCTAAATCGTTCTTGCTATTTTTACTATTTTCTGTCTCTTTTAGTCTAACTTTGAAGACTTATGATTAAGTATGTGACTTTATAAATTTTATTTTATTTTGAAATTTTAAAGTTCTAATTTATCCAATCAAGATTTAACATTTGAAAAAACCCATACAATTCTTTTAAAAAGTCACAAATTCTAACTTAGCCTTTTTGTTCCTAGGATCGTTTAGTTTTCAAAACCAACAAATAAACCTCATATTTTCTTTTGAATTGCTATCAATTATTTGAAAGTTAAATTCTCTACAACTTTTTCTCAGTTGTGGTGCTTCAATATTTTCTTAACCTACACTAATAACCTAAAGTAAGTCCCTAACAATCAACTCTATCTATTAGATAAAAACAATTAATTACCAGCTGGTTATAATTGTGGGAATGACATATCAACTTAAATTTTCAAACTAACTCAAACTATTTTCATAAACTTTTATACGTATTATGATTATACATTAAAACCGTTCAACTCATGCTCGGATTTGAACATAATCTTTTCATATGAAATCTCATTTGTAAATCATCTGATTTTTGCTATCTTTACTATTTTTTTTGTCTCATTCAGTAAGACTTTGTTTTATTTTAACTATTCGAATTTATAAACTCTTACTCTATTTCAAAATATATAAAGTTCTAATTTATCTAATCAATGTGTAATATTTTTAAAATACGTAAAATTCTTCTAAAATTTTACAATGTCTAACTTAGTCTTCCTGTTTATGCGATGGTTTTGTTTTAGTAAATCAACAAAATAAAATCTTACTTTTTCGTTTGAACCCATTATTTTAAAGCCAAATTCTCTATAAGATTTTCTTAATTATAAACTGTGGTGCTACAATATGTTTTTGAAGTACATTAATAACCTAAATTAAAGTCTCTAAAAATCAGATCCCTCTATAAGATCAAAGAACTTCCAACTGAGAATAATTTTGGAAATGACACATCAACAATATTTTTTAAATCAAGATCAAACTAATTGCATAGATTTTATTTGTAATGTTATTATCCATTAGAATCGTTCAAAATCTTATCTCAACTATCTCCATTCATCTCCCTCTTATAGGTTCAAACTTAATTTTATTGGTTTTTTTATTTGTAATCTCATATCTAAGATGTTATTTCTCGTTATCTTACTATTTTTTTATTTCATTCAGACTAAATTTGAGATTCTTATTTTATTTTCACTATGGGACTTTATAAACTTTTATTTTAATTTTTGTTGAGCTTCTCATTTATCCAATCAAAGTTTAACAGTTTTAAAATCATAAAATTCTTCTACAAATTCACAAAGTCTAACTTAGTGTTTTTGTTCATTAGATATCATGAAATGTACAACTAAATTTTTATTTCTCCTATGCTTTCTATTTTACTCAAGGGACCAAACTTACCAGTTGTTGTCTTGGACAAAGTATTAGAAGGCTTTTGAATAAGTTCTCATCTAAACTTATGGTAATCGATTGTTTCATTACCATCTACATCAGTCTGAAATATACATAAAAGCTTCTCTTAATTTTAAGTTTTTTTTTTCTTTTTACAGCGGGGCTATGAGATGGCAATACTTACGGCTTCTATTTTAGATATTGTTTTAGTTGATTGTGATGCATTTGTTGGTGTATATTTGTAACCATACGTTTAAGACCTTCAATTCAAGTGTTTCTTCCTAGAGGCTCTCTGCATTAACATAAAAAAACAAACTAAAATTATAAAAACAAAATGATTAGGCAAAAGACAGAAGTTTACGGTTACCATTGCTTACTTGTTAAAGAGAAGTTTAAGGTTACTTTAAGCTAGTTCAGAATTGCTTAATCCGAAAATACTCAATGGTTTCAAGAAAGAATGATCATACCAAACTCCACAGCCTACTATCAACAATAGGAAGTTCTGCTTGAAGCTTTAAAACTTCATGTGCCATATAAACCATATTAATTTTCTTTAGTTTGTCCTTATTCCATAAGCTTCAAACCTTTTTCTTTTATAGTCAATTACACCTTTATTCCAAAGTAAATGCCAATAACATAACCATATTACAATAGTATCCAAGACCTAAAATAAGAAAAACAAAGTTGAAAAGAAATTTCAAAATAAAATTATAAATAAAATAAAAATACCACGTTAACCAAAAAAAAATAATAGAAACCGTTAGAAGCCGATAGATAACTCCATAGATGTTTGCTCTGATACTTTGATGGAATCTTTCTGCCAATGTACCCGGCATATAAAATAAAAACAAAACAAAACCTATTGAGATCAGAGATCTTCATAAATCATAAATTAAAATCAATATGATAAAAATGATATAAATTATAATAACATTATGTAAATTGAGAGCTAGCAAAATTTCAAGGACATTATGAATGAATTGAAAGCTTGATTTATATGAGTTGCAAAATAATTAGGTTAAACCACAGAAATTTAAATAAATCGTACATAAGCTTGTTTCACTGACTATTTCTTGTTTTAAATAAAGTCCTCAAGCATTATCATAATTATTGTTGTAAGAATCAGTTAGTTACGTTTTTGTTGTAAAGGTTCCTCATTAACAGGAATTTGAATTAGGACATAAGTCTTGAAAAAAAACATGTCCTTGCAATGAGACCATATGATTAAAACATGTGTAGATAAACAAATTTGAGTTTCTAATGAGAATGTGT